CACCGTACCCGAGGTTGCAGATTTATTCCTCCCAAGATAAAACGGATTAACCTGTTAAAGAAGTAGCGGTACCTCAAACTTCAATAACTTCAGCGAATGCAAGAACAACAACAAGAGCACACACAGACTCAGCCGATCGACAATTTTGTTTATGTAAGAAAATGTATGCAGAGAGGAAAAATTTTCAGTGTTTAAAACCGGAAAAAACATCTCTATTTATAGCCATTTACAGTAAGGAATGAGTCTGTTCAGACAATTCTGTTCAGACCCGTTTTTTCCAAAAGGTTGTGTCTTTTGGGAAAAATAACGACTTTTCGGAACGTTATTATCGTTGCATATGAATTTCAAATAAATTCCATTGCGCCCAATTAATTATGTTATTTAACTAACATTCTGAATTAATTTATAAGAGAAAATAAATGAATTAACAAGATTGATTAAATAAATTTTGTCCAAAAATATTATCAATCAAATCATTTGCTTCCAAATCCAAATCCGAGGCCCAGCGAGCGACGACGACGACGCAAGGGGGCACCTTCTTCTTAACCCTTTAAGAAATAAAGGAAGTGTTTCCTAATATAAAGACAACAATTTCCTTTCTTCTACCAATATGGTAAAAATGAATTTTCATTTGCACTTTGCAATGACTTTTCATTTTTCCTCCAAAATTGGTTCCCCCACTTTCATTGGTTCTTCCTCTTTCCATTTTCTCTTTTTTATTTCCCATTCGCACCTTGCTAAACCCAACAATCCCCCACATGAATGGGGAATGACTATAGTTAAAACATATGCATGAAAAACTTGTGTGTCTTGTAAGTAAGAGTTAATCGCATCTGGATAAGTAGGTTTCCATTTAAACTTTCCATAGTGAACATATATCGGATATACTCGGTCAATTGGTACCATTTTTCGTAGCGGAACTGGTTGTTGGGAGATTCATGAAAGTGGTAGTGTGGTAGATGGTAGTGTGGTAGGTGATTAACTTATTTTTAAGATTTTCTTATAATATCTTTTTACTAAGTGTCTTAATCTTGATATCTCTTTAATATTATTTTTTGGTAGTGCTAAATTCATGGTAATATGTAATAAGATTTATCGTAATATTCTTCCGATAGTTGTTTTAATCTGAATATTTCTTTAATATTATTTATGATATATTCTAGATATAACATATCTTCGGTTCTTTGGTACATATATAAATTTTCCTCCATTATTTGTTCTAATAGTTTTATATCTTCCATAGATTTTATCCAATATTGTAAATATTCGTAGTTCATTTTAATCTGAATTTATTTCTAAGTCATACCATTCTATTCTTTCGAAGTCTAAATCATGTAGGTCTATTTCATACCATTCTTGATTTAATATATCTTCTGATTCGTAATCATTAAATATTTTTTCCCATATTATTCTTCTTAATTCGATTATTTCTATATTTTTAAGTACATATAAGATTAAAGTTTCGTAGTTTTTTATCATTTTATCATGCATGTATGTAGTCATGTTCTTTATTATGCAGATTTTTTATTTCAAATTATTCCTTCCTATCATATTCATAATTGATTAAATTCATATTAGATCATTATAAACTAGATTATCTTTATCATGTTTTCCTGTCACTACTAGTATCGTACTTTAGCGGATACTTCCTTCTTATCAGCGCCTCAACCTTGTTTACTCCCCTAAACGGCTTCCTCGCCTACCGGTTTCAACATTAAGATGGCATAGTATAGAAGTTTTCTCCCTGTTTCCAGTGTGCTAATAAAATAGAAATCATGATTCAAATAATTCTAATACATAATAACTAACATAAATTTATTCAATCATATATATGATATTCAGGAATATATGAAATTAGTTCCGCATATTTTTTGAACAATATACCTTTGCCTCTTGCTTAGCCATGCTATCTGAAATATCTGACTGGATTTCAGATTTATCCATTAATTTTTAAGTAATTAGTATCTTAAGAGAGTTTTTTGAGAAGAGAGTTTTTATTTAGGCGTTGCATGCCTTTACAATGTTTACTACTAAGTCTATATATAGACATACAAATTTACTATTCTAAATACTTATCCTAACACATTTTTTACACATGTCCACTACTATTTACTACTATTCATGACTACTATTCATGAATAGTTCTTATTTTGTCTACCACTATCCTCTTTACGACTTATTTGCACATATTAATAGTGTACACTATCTACCACATACACTTGTCATATTTTGTACAAAAGACCCATACCTACTTTATGACAACTATTATGACTTTTACATTTACATTATTAACTTTTTCCGTTCATATCTCTTTCTCCTTCTTATTTTCTTCCTCGTTGATTATTCCAGCTGGACGTCTGGAATTATATTATCTTCTCCGTTGCACTTTGAACATATATGGTCCGGGTATTTATGACCAATTAGCTTGCAATATCTGGTTAATAATTCTGCTGAAATAAATCCTTCTTTTAGTGCTCGTGTCGTAGGTCGTTCTTCTGGCTTTAGTAGTGATAAAATCCATCTTTGGACTTCATCCATAGCTGCTTTCCTTAGCTCCCTTGAATTGGAATAAATCATTAGCTGGTCTCTTGCATAGTAGCTCCATATAGCGTTTCCGTTTAAATAATTATTTGCTAACTCTTGTATAATTATTGATATACCAATTATCCTTTTGTTGGCATAAAAACTTGGTATCTCTATTTTGCATATCTCTTCTTGTTGTCCGATATCCTCGGGTATAATCATATATTTAGTTAATCCTATCTTGATAACCTGTATTGGAGGTTTTATTTCCTCGATTAATATCTCTGCTGGTGCTGTATAGAATTTTATATAAAATAAATTTCCTTTCGTAACTCTTTTGTATGTGATGAATGCTTTGTGTAGTTCTGGTATTCCACTAACTTCTTCTCCGTCATATGTGTATACGGTATTTAACAGTCCGTAGTTGTAACATGTTCTTACTAAATTAGCGTTAGTTTTTGGTTGTGCAATTAACTTGTTATATCCTTGTAACTTTTGTGTCAAATAATCTTGGTTTGGTTCTTTTGTAGTTGATCTGGGGTTGTGGTTTAAATAGGTTTGGATTTTGTGGATATTTTCAATATAGGTTCGTGTAATGTAGTTATATGTCTTTTTCTCATTTTGGTTTTGCAAACTATCTGCGAATGTAGATGTTTGTGGTTCTATGGACACATGTCTAGGTGTCCTTTGGTTAAATGGTTTTGCAAATAGCTGGTTTAAGTTCACATTTTTATGTTGTTTATCGCTAACTTGTTTGCTTGTATCTGCAGCTGTATTTAAACAAACATTATGGGTTTTAAGGAGTTTCCCATCGTCTCCTTTTAGCTCTGGGTTTTTTTCGTCTTTTGCTCGACGTAGCTCCGCATTTTTATAGTCATGCTGCTGACTAGCTTTAGACTTCAGATTATCTTCATTAGTCTTTAGCTTTTGTATCTCGTTGTCCATACTATCCACTTTTGTACAAAGTGTAGTAATAGCTTTGAGTATTTTTCGATTGTATCTTCTTCCTCAGTCTCAGTCTGAGTAGTTTTGTCGTGATAGGTAATCTGCAATAACATTCTTATCAGTTTTTATTACTTCAATTGTAAATGTAAAATTTAATATATTTAATACCAATCTCCTTATTTCTTTTGTTGTTACCGAATCTTGTATTTTTCTTGTTAGCCACCATTTTACTTGTGTATTATCTGTTCTTATAATAAATTTGTTATATACAATATATGGTTCAAATGATAATAAACACTTATATACTGAATATAATTCTTTTCTATTTATTTCCCATTTTATTTCTGTATTATTAAATGTTCCTGAATAATACCTGCAATGATGTTCTATCGTAGTGTCATCATACCTGTATTTAAATATTCCTCCATAACTTTTTTCACTCGCATCTGATTCTATTATATAAGTAAATTTTTTGTTTTCATCTGGAAAGTATAGTTTAGGTAAGTTTTTACATAATAATTTTACCTTTTGTATTTGTATTTGGTCTTTTTCATATTTTGTACAAAAGACCCATACCTACTTTATGACAACTATTATGACTTTTACATTTACATTATTAACTTTTTCCGTTCATATCTCTTTCTCCTTTTTGTTTTCTTCCTCGTTGATTATTCCAGCTGGACGTCTGGAATTATATTATCTTCTCCGTTGCACTTTGAACATATATGGTCCGGGTATTTATGACCAATTAGCTTGCAATAGCTGGTTAATAATTCTGCTGAAATAAATCCTTCTTTTAGTGCTCGTGTCGTAGGTTGTTCTTCTGGCTTTAGTAGTGATAAAATTCATCAGGTGGTTTCTAACTGTGTTATCCCGTAGATACACCATTTGTTATACCCTGTATCAAACATAGAAACCATTAAAAAGTCTTTATGCCTTTATCCTGGTTACTGAACATTGTCTCATCATGAGAATGGACCATCAAATATGTTTTGACAATGTTGAACCGTCATCTATGACTTTGTTTGATCTCCTTGAATCTAGATCTTGGGATCTCCAGTCTTCTAGGTAGAGTTACCGCCACGATGACTTGTTCTCGGCCATAGTCCTATTCCCGTCAATGATCTCTCAACTCCCTCTCTAGTTAGGCCTTTTGTAAGTGGATCCGACACATTATCCTTTGACTTTACATAGTCAATTGTGATAATTCCACTAGAGAGTAGTTGTCAGTTATGTCTTCGTCTTATGTGACGAGACTTCTCGTTATACATAACGCTTCCAGCCCTTTCTATTGCAGCTTGGCTATCACAATGTATGCATATAGGGGCCATTGGTTTGGGCCAATACAGAATATTTTCTAAGAAATTTCGGAGCCATTCAGCTTCTTCACCTGCCTTGTCTACGACGATGAATTCTGACTCTATTGTAGAGTGAGTTATACATGTTTATTTGGATGATTTCCAAGATATAGCTCCTCCACCAATAGTGAAAACATATCCACTTGTGGATTTCGTTTCAGTTGACCTAGTAATTCAATTTGCATCACTATATCCTTTAAGAACTGCTGGATATTTGTTGTAATGCAAATCATAGTTTTGAGTGCTTTTTAAGTACCCCAAAACTCTCTTCATTGCCAACCAATGATTTTGATTGGGATTACTTGTGTATCGACTCAGTTTGCTTATAGCGCAGGCTATGTCTGGTCGTGTACAATTCATGACATACATCAAACTTCCCAATACTCTGGCATAAGCCAATTGAGACTGACTTTCACCTTTATTCTTAGCAAGATTAAGGTTCACATCAATTGGGGTCTTTGCCTTTTTCAAATTCAAATACTTCAACTTTTCAAGTACCTTTTGAATATAATGAGATTGAGACAATGCTAGACCGTTAGGAGTTTTGTGAATCTTTATTCCCAATATCAAATCGGCTACTCTTAGATCTTTCATATTAAATTTACTAGCAAGCATACGCTTAGTAGCTTTTATATTGGAAATGTCCTTGCTCATTATCAGCATGCCATCCACATATAGGCATACAATGACTTCCTGATCCGTAGTGTCTTTAATGTAAACACATTTATCACACTTATTGATCTTAAATCCATTTGACAACATGGTTTGATCAAACTTTGCATGCCATTGTTTCGGTGCTTGTTTTAGTCCATAAAGTGACTTAACAAGTTTGCATACTTTCTTTTGTTTGTCGGGAACTACGAAGCCCTCAGGCTGTTCCATGTAGATCTCTTCCTCCAGCTCTCCATTTAAGAAGGCGGTTTTCACATCCATTTGATGGATTTCAAGACCGTATACTGCAACTAGGGCAATTAACATCCGAATTGATGTAATCCTAGTCACTGGCGAGTATGTGTCAAAATAATCAAGACCTTCTTTCTGTCTCAAGCCTTTGACAACAAGTCTTGCTTTATATTTGTCAATAGTTCCATCATCTTTCATCTTCTTTTTGAAGATCCATTTTGAACCCAAGGGTTTGTTCCCTGGAGGAAGATCAACCAACTCCCAAGTATGATTGTTAAGATTGATTCAACCTCACTATTGACAGCCTCCTTCCAAGAGGTTGAGTTGCTAGACAACATCGCTTCCTTGAATGAAGGGATGTTACAAAATCATATCCAAATGAAGTAGCTGTGCTTTGACGTTTACTGCGCCTTGGACTCTCTTCATTGGTTTCATTCTCTTTTGGTTCTTCTCGAGGTTGTTTAGACCCCCCACTAGATGACTCAAGTCTAGTTTTATACAGATAGATATGTTCAAAAAATTCAGCATTATCTGATTCCATTACCATATTATCATGAATATCCAGATGTTCGGACTTATGAACCAAAAATTGACATGCCTTACTATTTGTGGCATATCCAATGAATACACAATCCACAGTCTTAGGCCCTATTTTCACCCTCTTAGGTATAGGAACCTTGACCTTAGCAAGACACCCCCACACTTTGAAATATTTCAAGTTGGGTTTTCTACCTTTCCATTTCTCATATGGAATAACACATGTCTTCGTATGAGGCACTCTATTGAGTATTCGATTTGCTGTAAGGATAGCCTCCTCCCACAAGTTTTGTGGTAAACCTGAACTTATAAGTAAGGCATTCATCATTTCCTTTAAAGTTCGGTTTTTTCTTTCTGCAATTCCATTAGATTGTGGAGAGTAAGGAACAGTAGTTTAATGGATTATTCCATTTTCCAAACATATTTCTACAAATGGAGATTCATATTCTCCACCTCTATCACTTCTAATCATTTTGATCTTTCTATCCAACTGATTTTTAACTTCAGTTTTATATTGCCTAAATGCACCAATTGCTTCATCCTTACCATTTAGCAAATAGACATAACAATATCTAGTGCAATCGTCAATAAAAGTTATGAAATACTTTTTCCCACCACGTGTTGGTGTTGACTTCATGTCACAAATGTCAGTGTGAATCAATTCTAAGGGATATGAATTCCTTGCAACAGATTTATAAGGATGCTTAGCATACTTAGATTCAACGTAAACTTGACATTTTGATTTATTGCACTCAAATTTAGGCAAAACATTTAAGTTAATCAGTTTTCGCAAGGTTTTGTTATTAACGTGTCCCAAACGTTCATGCCATAAACATTTAGACTCAAGCAAGTAAGAAGAAGCAAAATCTTTATTCATATCAACTGCAATTACACTGAGTTTAAAAAGGCCCTCAGTGAGGTAACCTTTTCCTACATACATCTCATTCTTACTTACTACAACTTTATCAGAAACAAATACATATTTGAATCCATTCTTAGTCAGAACTGGTATAGAAACTAGGTTCTTTCGCAATTCCGGAACATACGAGACCCTGTTCAAAGTCACCACCTTGCCTGATGTCATCTTTAGGAGGATCTTGCTAGTTCCTTCCACCTTTGCAACAACGGAATTTGCCATAAACAACTTCTCGTCTGTAGGTGCTGGAGTATATGATGAAAATAATTCTTTGTTGGCACAAACATGACATGAGGCACCAGAATCTATCCACCATTCTTTTGGATTTCCAACCAAGTTGCATTCTGAAAGCATTATACAAAAATCGTCCATCTCTCCTTTGGATTCAGCCAAATTTGTTTGATCCTTCTTCTTGTCCTTCTTGGGACCCCTACATTCAATAGCCTTATGACCACATTTGCCACAGTTGAAGCAGCTTCCATTGAATTTCTTCTTAGGAGGATTGCTCTTTGGACCAGATGCTTTCTTTCTTTTCTTTGATTTTGTGGAATCTTCTTCAACAATATTTACTCAAGATATTGCTGAATTACCACGTGACCTCTTTTCTGCGGCCTTGTTGTCCTCTTCGATTTTCAACCTTACCATGAGAGCTTCAACATTAATCTCCATGCGTTTATGTTTCAAGTAGTTTTTGAAGTCCTTCCACAATGGAGGTAACTTCTCAATAATTGCAGCCACTTGAAAAGCATCATTCACAACCAATCCTACATTAAAGATTATGTGAGTATTGAGAATAAACTTAATATTTCCAACATAGTTATTAAGTAAATTTATACCTTCAGCAAAGAGATCATGGATTATGACCTGCAATTCTTGAACTTGGGTGACGACGGTCTTACTGTCTATCATCTTATAGTCCAGAAACTTTGATACAATAAACTTCTTCATTTCGGCATCTTCTGTTTTGTACTTCTTTTCTAAAGCATCCCAAAGTTCTTTTGAGGTTTTCACATTACTGTACACATTGTACAGATCATCCTGCAGGCCACTTAGAATATAAATTTTACACAAAAAATCAAAATGTGTCCATGCTTCTGTTACCAAGAATCATTCTTCAGGCGGAGTTTCATCCGACATAACAGGAACGTTCTCATTAATGAACCTCTGCAGACTCAACGTAGTCAGATAGAAGAACATCTTTTGCTGCCATCTCTTGAAGTCGTACTCCAGAAAACTTTGCAGGTTTCTCAACTGGTGCTAGGGCAGCATTTGAACGATTGTGTGCAACCGATGTTGTTGCAGCACTAACAGTTCCAGTATTTACTTGACTTGAATTAGTCATTTTTCTATCACAAATGACAGACAATTTAGTATGTGAAATACTACCAGTAAAGAATAAATCCTTACACAAACTGTTTCTAATTTAACGATAAAGTTGTTATAATCTTTTAATTGTTAATCGAATGAATTTTAAAAATTCAAACAGAGTAGAAAACCATAAAGATTTTAATCTCCAGAAACCTCAAATACAGAAACTATATAAATTTCTTAAGATTGTTATCTCCTGTATTCAGGTTAGTCCAAAAATACAGAAACAAAAAGTAGATGAAATAGACAGAATGATTTTAATCCGAGTCCACAGAAACCACTGTGTTTCTTTAAGAAATTTAATCCCATCATTGTACCCGAGGTTGCAGATTAATTCCTTCCAAGATAAAATGGATTAACCTGTTAAAGAAGTAGCGGTACCTCAAACTTCAATAACTTCAGCAAATGCAAGAACAGCAACAAGAGCACACACAGACTCAGTCGATCAACAATTTTGTTTATGTAAGAAAATGTATGCAGAGAGGAAAAATTTTCAGTGTTTAAAACCGGAAAAAACATCTCTATTTATAGCCATTTACAGCAAGGAATGCATCTGTTCAGACCATCTCTACGTTATTACCGTTGCATATGAATTTCAAATAAATTCTGTTGCGCCAAATTAATTCTGTTATTTAACTAACATTATGAATTAATTAATAAGAGAAAAGAAATGAATTAACAAGATTGATTAAATAAATTTTGTCCAAAAATATTATCAATCAAATCATTTGCCAAATCCAAATCCAAATCTGAGGCCGAGCAAGCGATGACGACGGTGCGAGGGGGCACCTTTTTCTTAACCCTTTAAGAACTAAAGGAAGTGTTTCCTAATATAAGGACAACAATTTCCTTTCTTCTACCAATATGGTAAAAATGACTTTTCATTTGCACTTTGCAATGACTTTTCATTTTCCCTCCAAAATTGGTTCCCCCACTTTCATTGGTTCTTCCTCTTTCCATTTTCTCTTTTTTATTTCCCATTCACACCTTGCTAAACCCAACGAAACCCACATTACTATTCATACATTTACCTTTTTTATTCGATCTTTTTTCTATTTTTATTCTCTCATTATTGAATATTCTAAATTTTACCAAACGATCTTGTTTACTTTATTTAATGTGGAGGTCGTTGTAGTAATTGAGAAATGGAATAGTGTTTAGTTAGTTGTAGCATCCTTTCGTACGTAGCTACCTATTTTGTTGACTTATTTATATCATGACGATTATAATGAACTCACATTACTACAGACTTTATTATTCTAACTTTATATTATATTTTTTTATTGAAAATTTTCATTGTTTATATTTTTACTTCATAATCCTACCTTCTCGAGACTTCACTTGTAGGATTATACTGAATATGTTATAGCTGTTTAATTTATATATGACAACTAAAAAAAGATAAGACCTCTTTATGAAATTTTGCTTCAGTCCTCCAAACTTGTTGAGACGACCCCGGTCATGACCATGCATACTTTAGAATATAAATACTCTACAATTAAGATTCTTTGATATTTTGCAAAAAGGTGAGCAGTTATGTAACGACCCGTTAGGTCGTTTTGAGTACTAGAACTATATTGACTCTTTCTGTATATTTTAAATGATAATTGTGAACTAGTTATTTAACAATGGTTATTTAATTGGTGGGTATTTATTAAATAATTAGTTTTAGTTGAGTGTAAATGGGTCAAGTCTGAAATTTATTTAATACCCTAGGTCACTTGGTCCATAGTTAGAAATAAAATTAATAAAATTTAGCAATTTTGGTACATAATTAATTTAGGGAAAACAGATTAGGTGAGAAGACTTACCTGGGTGGCCGATTACCAGAGAGGGTCGACGAGTGTTTCAGGTACCAAATAGCTATATATTCTCATTATTTAGCCATCAATAGTGGTGTATTAATGGGTACAAATTCGATGATTAGCCAATCATCGTAGATAGGGGTGTTCACGGGTTGGTTTGGGTCGGTTATTGGTCAAAATCAAAACCAAACCAACTTAATCGGTTTTAAAATTATCAAAACCAAACCAAATCAAACCTAATATACATTTATCGGTTTCGGTTCGGTTTGGTTTGGTTCTTCGGTTATTAACCATATACATAAAATTAAAAGAAATAATTCATTCAAAACGTGAAAAAAAAGTGACAATAATCCATTCAAAACGAAAAATAGTTAGAATGACTGACATTATGAAACTTTCGATTATTGAATTTACTATGAATAAAGCTTCAAAGTTCACTACTTTTGCCCTAGAAGGAAGAGACATTGACATTTTCAGTCCCACAAAGAATTGTCATAGATATTCATATACATGAAACCAATAAGATAAATGTTCTTACCTTGGTCATTTTTACTTTCATAAGTAAATTATAAATAAAATTTTGATGAATACATATATAAGATTTTTAAAATTGTTTATAAAATAGTATATTATGTATGTATAATAATAAAATTGATGTATATTATTTATCGGTTTGGTTCGGTTATTTCTTCGATTTTTTTCGAACAAAATCATAACCAAACCAAATACTATCGGTTTTTTTAAAATCTGAAACCAAACCAAACCAAACCCTAAATAAAATCGGTTCATTTAATTGGTTTGATTCAGTTTTTCGGTTTGGATCAATTTTTATCCAAACCGTGAACACCCTATCGTAGATAATGATTGCTAAATCATTAGGGGTGGTATTCTTAATGGGAAAATTGGAAGTTTGATTTGTACTTTAATTTTCTCATTCCGTCAGTAAATTTATGCCTTATTTTAATTGGGATATTGTATTATCTTTCCCTTAAAGTCGTTATCATCATAGGCAGGGAATTGGAGAAATTATGGGTTGTGCATATTTTATAATTTTTAACTTTCAAAGTCACTAGTTCGGCAATTCTTTTTTTTCTTATAACGTTGAATGAGGTTTAAAATTGTTTTGATGGTCTAAATTTATTTATTTATATTAGGTATATGTATGGGAGTATTTGGAGAAATGAGGACTTAAACCTAAGCTTGAAATTTAGGAAATTGACTATAGATTTGGGTGAATTTTTGGGTCTAGGCTAGACGTATAGTAATATGGGTGTCTATAGACTTGTTTACTTGTGAATTATGCATATTTGATAGATTGAAAATGTTCTAAGGCATTGATGGAAGGAAAAACATTGGGGAGTTAGCTTGCTTGACTTCGGTTCTTCAGTGGAGGTGTGTTATGGTTTATTTTATGTGATAGATAGACTCTAATAGTGATTGATAGTCATTGAGTGATATTGTGAATTTCTCTATGTACTTGATTGTGTGGTCTGGATAATCTATTTGTTGTTTGTGATTGGTGTGAAATCCCGAGACCGTAAAATCATAATCTTGAACCTTCTACTCTTATTAGTGATTGATAGTCATTGAGTGATATTGTGAATTTCTCTATGTACTTGATTGTGTGGTCTGAATAATTTAATTGTTGTTTGTGATTGGTATGAAATCCTAAGACTATGAAATTTATAATCTTGAACCTTTTCTATTGAAGTGATGCCTTGAATAAAGAAGGCTTGATGAAATATTGTTAATAAAGTGAAAAGTGGTGATAAAAATGATAGATTAACGGTATCATTGGATCTTGTATCACGTTCCGACACGGTATTATTGGATCGGGTGTCACGTTCCGACATTTTATTATTGGATCGAGTGTCACGTTTCGACATGGTATTATTGGATCGAGTGTCACGTTTCGACACGATATTATTGGATTGGATGTCACGTTCCGATATGATATTATTGGATCGAGTGTCACGTTTCGATACAGTATTATTGGATTGGGTGTCACGTTCCGACATAATATTATTGGATCGAGTGTCACGTTCCGACATGGTATTATTGGATCGAGTGTCACGTTCCGACACGGTATTATTGGATCGGATGTCACGTTTCGACACAATATTATTGGATCGGGTGTCAGTTCCGACACGATATTATTGGATGAGTGTCACGTTCCGACACAGTAACATTAAAGGAAAA